CTGTTTCCCGCCATACTGTCCCCCCTTTCCTCCCGAAAAATCTCCCCCGTCCACATCTTCCCTTCTCCTCGCCCCGCCCCCGCCCAGGCGCAGCTCCAGAGCCTCCTGGCCCGACTCTGCCAGGACGGCCGCCTGGAGTTCAACGGCTCGGACTACCTGCTGGTGAAGGCGACCTGACTTGCGCTGGCCCCCAGCGGACCCGGCAGGCCCACGCGGCACGCGCGGACGCCCCGCGGGGAAAAGAGCGGCGGCAGGAGTCTGAGGAGGAGGCGGAGGCGGAGGAGGAGAAGGGACATGTTACGCTGTCGTCCTGGGCGACGTGACACCGCCTCCGTCGCGCCAAAGGCGGCAGTTGGTCAGCAAACACGCTCGATGGTCGACTGTTGGGTGCCAATGCCAGCAGCGCTCTGGGGACAACAAAAACAAGAAAGCACAACGCCTTGACCTGGGGAAAGGAGGAGGGGATAGAAGGGGGAGAACGAGGAGGAGGAGGAAGAGGAGGAGGAGGAGGAGGAGGAGGAGGAGGGATAGGAAGGAGAAGGGGAGAACAAATGGGGGTAGGGAGAAGAGGGCAGGAAAGGAGAGGGAGAACGGGAACGGGGTCAAAGAAAAAGTGGGAAGGAGAACGAAGATGAGGAGGACTAAAGGGGCAGGAAGGGTAGAATGGAGGAGGAGGAAGCGTGCGGAGAAGGAGAGGGAAGCATGAGATGAGGGGTAGGAGGCTATTTGATCTGCGTCGCGCGTATGCAAGCCATGCCTCTGAAGGTTTTGACACACGGGGTATGCCATACAAGAGATTACGAGCAAACTCGGTACACATGGCGCGGCTGGCGTAGGCGAGATTTGGATACACGTGCGGCCACATGTAATTCCAGCTCTTTACCAAGGCGTGGCCAGTCACAGGGATCCGGATGTGTTTCCGACGTCTGGGTCACGCCCCCAGCCTTGTTGTACAGATTTGTCGGGAAGAAGCCCTTCGCGATGGTAGTTGGTCAGATGAGATACGCCGTTGGCTTCGGAAAAGGGGCCGCGGATGTGTTTGCGACCAGCTGCAGCACTTGCCACAAAGTCTGGAAGTGCCACGAACACCACAATCATGCGGAGGAGGAGGAGGTGAAGGAGAAGGAGGAGGAGGAGGTGGAGGAGAAGGAGGAGGAGGAGGAGGAGAAGGAGGAGGAGGAGAAGGAGGAGGAGGAGAAGGAGGAGGGGGACCGACCGTAGCTTCGAGGCTGCGAGGAGGAGGACGAGCAGGGAAACTGAGGAGGGGAAGGAGGAGGGAGGAGAGGAGGAGGAGGAGGAGGAGGAGGAGGAAGAGGACTCGGAAGAAGAGAAGGAGGCGGAGGAGGAGGAGGAGGAGGAGGAGGAGGAGGAGGAGGAGGAGGAGAGGGAAAAGGATGGTGAAACAGAACTGAAGAGGAGGAACCGCTGCCCCAAGTTTCTCAGGCACACCGGGTGCCCCTTTCTCGGTTCCACACCATGACTCAGGACTCCCGCGGCCGCTCGGTGCGATCTGGACACCCACGGAACGCTCTCGGCGAGGCGCAGCTGATGTAGAGACTCCCGATGTCGGGAACCGCCACGA